TTACCATATAGAGTAGAAAAATTCGATGGTCATAAAAATAAAGTTCGTGTAAGATGTAAAAAACACTCTTTCTTTTCGAATTTCCACTCACCTGTGATATAAAACAACATTTGCAGAAGCGATGTAGTTGTTTGATATTGGAGCATCTCGTCTTTGAGAGGTCACTTCGGCTTATCAGTTAGGCCTTTTCACACTTCTCATGAAGCATTACAATACTCAGATTTAATTCAGCACATTGAAGAGAGGTCATCAGCTACTATTTATCCTGGTAGGTAAGTGATTTATATGCAACTATTGGCCATAGGAAAAAGGCCTTGCTTAGAACCTTATTGTGTATTGTGACGACACTTTTTCCTACCGAGATTTCACGGGGTACCGTTCAGCTTCAATGCAGCTCCAATCCGCACCCCAACCCTTTTGCTATGCTACTTCTGTACCGACCCAACCTCCACCAATGGAGCTCGAACCCGCACCACAACCAATATACTATGCTACTTCCGCACCTATACAACCTCCGCTAACCTCCCAACCCGTACCGCAGCCTTCGCTCCAATCTATGCAACCTGCCTCAATTCCCCCTTCTCTCCTATTACCTCAAACCTCCCCTGAAGATACACTTGTTCCCGAATCGGTAGAGTCGCGTCGCGACCCGCTCCATCAAGAACCCAACATTGAATTTACCGAGAACCGACCAGTATGGTTTATGGGGGAAAGGCAGGTAAGTAAGTACGAAAAAATCGCGTTTTAGTCTACAGAATTTCAGGTACAGAGTATGCATATAGTCTTGAGAAGTTGCGCACGAACAAGTATGAGGAAGTTTTTCTGCGCATTCAGTGCAAAAGACCATCCGAGTTGTTTAATAATTATCTTTATGATACTTACTATTGGGTAATTTAGGCTTCTTTGCATTCTATTGGGTTTTCTGTTGAAATTTCCATCATCTTGCATGTAATGCAACTTTTTAAACCAGAGGGCATGAAAATTTTACGTTGAAAAACTAATTTTCTTGAAATTTCATTTTTCTCATTCTCATCATTCGCCATCACTCTCATAAGTATGATGAAGTTAGTTACGATTGAGGTCACTTCGCACGTCGGCGCGAAGTAATCTCAGTCGTAAGTAAGGACCCACACCCCATGTGCCCCAATGGCAAGGCAGGCACGACATACACCCGAACTTAAGCAGCAAAGGGCCTTATGCATAACGCCCAGGGTAGGGAAGGGTAGAGTCTCCCCAAAGAAATGTTTGCTTCGCCGTGGGTCAGGTAAGTGACGCCGGAGCACAGTATTTTACGCCTTCAGTACCGTTTGGGCAATGATAGATTAGTACTCAAAGTTCGTGTTTTTCTATTAGATGAACCGCAATTTGGAGAGAATGTGATTTTTGCTCCGGGAAAGCACTCTAACAAAGTGGAGGGGAACTATACCCTAAGAGCCCTCATGGAAGTAGCAGATTGTTAGGACTCTTGTAAGAGTCTGTAATGCAAAAGTCCGTGTAAGATGCAAGAGACTGTAAGAGTCTGTAGGTGGAGGAGCGACCGTAATTCAAAGAGTATTGGGGCGTGCAAAACATAGCTGTCTGGAAAAGAAGTGTCTGAGATGTGAGATCTTATCAGCTGAGTAGGGTTCTAGTCGAAAATGGGAATCACAGATCAAAGGGAGCCGCTTTCCCCTTCATGGTGCCACATTGCTTCCCTTCGACCTCGCGCATGGGAATTTCTGCTCACTGCCTCATGGCTCATCTGATCACACATATTTAACACGTTGACGACAACATCGCGCAATGGTGCTTGACAGCCAGTCTGTTTCATGGGACGATGCTGCGCGACGGGGCATTCTTCGATTGAAATGTGTGTGCTCGTTCCGTTTTTTGTGCAGATTTTCAATTAGGGCTTATAAGTGTCTGAAATAGCACCGGCCCCCTATTAAATTAATTCCTAGACAAATATTTCATTTTTATTAGCAACAAACAATCATGAATTGTTTGGAAACATTCTAGGCAACAAACTTGATTACATTAACGGCATTTTGACTTAGTCCTCTTGGCCAGGCTCCTCGCGGTCGACCTGCCCGATGTTGCAGAGATCGAACTATAGCAGTTGGAGCAAAATCGTCCGTCCTTAGCCTTCGCATTTTGATCAACCACCAGCTTCCGCTTGTGTGTTCCCGAACTGCTTGTCGGCGTGCCGTTGAAGTTCTTGTACAGCAAGTCGTCCTTCTCCTTCATCGTAGTCGTCATTTGAGATTTCAGTGTCAGGGACAACCAGGAGCCATATCGTCGCCATCTTAACCACCTGCAGCATCATCGTCGCTGTCGAGCAGCCAGTTGTCAAAACTTTCGATGAAGTCTTTCATTTCAATATCCGGGACACTCTCGATGGCAAAAATAGTCCCAAGGATAATAATACTCTCAGTGATCCTATTTATCTAACCCTGATTCAAACTTATCACCGCCAAATATGAAATTATCCCGAGTAGCCCAAGTGTTGGGCAAAATTTGAATACTGCTGGATGGTATGCGAAATATTCTCTCGTACCGTCTGTTTTCAAATGTTTTTGACTGTAATCACTCATGTTTTTGGGAAGTAACAAATTTCCAAGAAAGAAACTGTTTCGTCCCACGGGACAGACACGAAAAAATCGGCTCGTCGTCAACGTGTTAAGGCTCGCCGCCAGCTTCTCGAGGAGTACAGTCAAGAGCGTCTCCGTCCCGCCATCATGCTCGCCGTTCGCTGCTACTGCACCTCCTGCTCGTCACCTTTGGGCCCCACAACATCCAAGCTATAGTGCCTCAACTGCTCGACTCACTTGCTGATCACTTTCTATACTCCGTACGACAGAACTGATCTCTTCATTCACCGCTAAAGTATAGTTTTCCCTCGGGGCCTGAAGGTTTTCACACAAAAGCACTTCGTTGATTTGAATTTTCGAGCGGGCATTGAGTTAAGTGATTCAAATGAGTTTTCGTGACATTGAGGATCACACGTGTTTATGGAGAAAGTTTTATTCGACGTCGAATTAACAGAATTAGTAGTAGTAATCAGGGTTGATGATTGCGAACAAACGGGTGCCAGTTATGGGAATAAGAAGAGGAGATTCCAGAAGAATTACAGTAATTGAAGTGTAGTTTTGAGTTTTGGCTAGCTCTTGTGTTGAGCTATGGAAAATACTTCAAAACATTCTCATTATGGTAGTAATACGAGCTCTCTTCATTGCACGTTTTGTCCGCGTATCTCTTCCTTACTCTTACTATTATGTGTGTTGTTATTTACTCAATTTCCATGCTTTTATGAATTGGCCGTTATAACGCGGCAGGTTAAATCCGCCGCAGGTATGCCACATAGAAATAGGGTGTTTACGCCTTGACGCGACCAGGCGTCGCTCGCTTCTGCACAATTTGACGGCGCAACCAGGAGTCATATATACTTGTCCGGTATCTTTCCTCCTAATAAGGTGTTTTCAAGAAGAGAACGCCGAAATTTATGCCAGGAAGCTTAGCCGGTGGAATTTTGAGGTCTAGAAGACGGTCTTCGGTCGTGTTTGGTATTCTCCTGGAGTTTTGTGTGGGATCGCCGTTCTCTTCGCATTGGCCGTACGTTATCATGACCGTCTTTCCATCGCAACAGATGCTCGCCACCGTTACCACACCTCGGCTCTTTGTCTGCAGCCGGCGCGACACTCGCGACTTATTGCCGTTCCCATCAGATGACATCTTCTCGACAGTCTCGCGCACGAGCTGTTTACATCAGCTTCACGTCGGTTCCCACGAAGTCAGATCTGATAACGGATCTTTGACATTTCGCCGAACTCCGACTTCGTAACTTCTCACGGATTTTTTGCGAACATCAAAGGAATGCGAGGGGGTCCACTTCATTGTGGGATAATACAGTCCCCACCGGACCATCTAGACCAGTGATTCCTTTCATGCTTTTCCACCGTAGTACCGCCTTGCCTTCCGTCTACGATATACGAAACTCTTAACCTCACAACAGTCATCCGACTGTAATCTCTGTATTCGGTCTTTTTCGTCTCGATGCCTTTGTCTCGCAGCCAGTCATCGTCCATCGCCGCGTCAGGTTCTCCGTCGACGCCGTCGATTGGGGCGGGTGCCCCTGAACCCGAAAACGAATTTCAAGGTAGTAACTTGGGAAATGGAGTGGACACTCCTAACGTCGAAAACGTTGGTTATGGTTCCGTTACGGTACCATAAATAACTCTCTTTCCAGATTGGACGATTCGGCAGTACTGCATGTTAAGGATGGAAGGCACTTCGTGATGCAGCCTCAGGAGCTATCACACAGTTATGGAAGGAAGCCCGTTCGCAGACTTCGGCCCTTGCGCATCGCATTAATGAAGGGAATGCCTCCTTGTCTTCTGAACTTAGTGAATCCCTTACAGCAGTAGGGAGTCGGTGGGAAGCAATTCCAACCATTGCGATGTTTTCCCGAGATTCTCCTTCGCCGAAGACATCTTCGTTCACTGGATCGTATGAGGATGGGACCCAATTCTCCATTTGGTTGCGCCGTCTCCATTATGTTGTCTGTATGCGTCCTTCTGAGCTAAGTAGCGAACAGAAGGCCAACTTCCTCATCAGACATTTGGATCGAGTGGCTCGTTAGACGTGGGAGGAATTGGACGAAGGAGCACGGAAGAGCTTCGATGCCGTCACCACTCATCTCAGCAATCTCTTCGAAAGCCCGCAGCAGCGATACGTTACCCGACAAAAACTTTCCGCCTGCAAACAGGAGCCAAGGGAGGCCGTTGCAACGTTCGCCAATCGGGTGCTGAATTTGGTTCGTTCTGCGACGACCGGTTAGAATCCAGCTACGCAGAAGGATAGGGTATTGGAAGAGTTCGTATCCCGCCTCAGAGGAGACAACCGGTACTTCGTCAAGTTGGACAATTCCACTTCATTCGAGTAGGCAGTGGCGAAGGCACACATGGTAGAACAACTACTTAGTGAAGCGACAGCTGAGAGACTCATTAGCCGTGGTAAACCTAATGTGCTGGCAGTTCAGTGGTTTTCTTATAACTCCGATGGTAATAGAGTAAAAATACATCAAGTAATGTAATAAGTGTGGAGGTTACCGCAATGAAAACGTAGAATGATGGCAAATAATACTTTATCTAGTAACACAACCTACGTCTTGCCCATGACGTTGTTAGAGGTACAAGTCAGGGACCAACTTATCTCGGGACCGCTTGACCCCGCACCATTTGGAGGCAAGGGGTTTGCTAGGGTGAGACGTCTCAGACAGTGAGACGACGAGATAGTGGGGATCGTGGCCGCAGACGACGACACCCCGTCGGCAACTCCGCAGTTGTAGCATCTTTCAGAATAAATAGGTCCATCGATGGCGAGTTGCTCCACTGTTCTGAAATGGACGACGTTAACGTTGATTGCTTTCAAGTTCAAGTCTACGGAAGTCTCTTTGATTGTTACCATTCCTGTTGTTAGGCCTATTAAACGCCTGATTTCTACCCGCCCTACCTCTATCCAACGCGTTCAGAGATACCTCAGGTATCATCGTCTACGGTGACGATCCCCACTACTATCTCGTCGTCTCACTGTCTGAGACGACCCACCCTAGCAAACCCCACGCCCGTAAATGGTGCGGGGTCAAGCGGCCCGGAGGTCAGTGGGTCCCTGACTTTTACCTCTAACAACGTCAAGGGCGAGACGTAGGTTGTGTTATTAGATAAAGTATTATTTGCCATTACTCTACGTTTTCATTGCGGTAACGTCCGCACTTATTACATTACTTGTTGTATTTTTATTCCGTTACCATCGGAGTTATAAGAAACCACTGAATCGCCAGCACATTTTTGGTGCATCGGCCTAAATAAGCCAAAAAGAAACCTTTCGAATCAAAATAGAAACCAACGTGTTTCTATAATTTTTGAAAGTTAATCAAGCAGAATCGAATGTGGTTCTGCATAATGAGTAGGATCGAACGAGGCTCATTCACAGATTTATAAGTAACGATATAATAGAAACTTTATCTAAAACACAGAATAATGGCACTCCACTTCTACAAAAAGCCCATTGTCTTATCCGCTAACACCCTTAAAGACCTTACAACACGTCATGGAGCCTACACATCTAGATCGGAATACTCCACAGTAAATAAGCAATCCTACAAGAACTGTAAGTCTACGATTGCGCTCCTCCAAAGCGGCATAAGACTACTTAAGAAGGGCCAAGAAAAGCTGAAAACCTTTATAGGGGGATAAGGGAGCAGTACAAGGCATGCAAAAAAAAAGTCGGAAAGAAAGGATGTAATGCTCGAAATAGAGCAAACCGAGGGAGGAGTCCAATATTCACCCGATAATAGCCGACGCGGACAGGCTCGGTTACATGCTCGAGGCACGATTAGATGAGGCGAGGTGTGCTCGGGACAGGACGGCCATTTACCTAGGCTACATTTCGCACAGTGCCTCAAATCTGCAATCGATTGATGTAGAAGAGAGGGAGTCCATAAATGCAAACTCAGAAGACAACTCGGGAAGGAATACCGAAATTATATTGGAAAATAGCACCCCACCAAACACCCCAGTAGGAAGAAATATAGCGCAAGCAATTCCACAAACGGCCTGCCACTCTGTAAAGCTCCGCAGGTCTCGCTACCGAAACTTCACGGGAGTGCCGAAGATTTCCCAGAATACTGGGCAATCTTCCAGACACTTGTACATAACAGTTCTGATTTGGCCGCCATGGAAAAGATACTCCTACTCAAGGAGAGCCTAGTGGGAAAGGCCCGAAACTCGATCAAGGGCATAAGGATAATCCCAGATCACTATATTTGTATAATAGAAACCCTACAAAAACTGCCTCAACCAGCCCGCCAACAAAGCGCAAGCAAATTAACATGAAGCCTGCTACCACTTCAGCAGGAAGTTGCTCAAGTGTATTTGATGATATTCAGGTGCTAGTGCACCAAATGATCTCCGCAGGGTATGACGTGCGGAAAACGTGCGAACCAATATGGTGTGAAACCATATTGACGAAATTCTCACGGGACATTGTGAAGCCTGTTTTGCTAAATGGTTGATCTGAAGACCAACAAACAATTGAGGATTCAATGAGCCAATTGAAGGGAGAGATCTGTGCGAAACAATATGTTGAGTGTAGGTTAGGCTACGCTGATAAGCCCAACGGGGCTACTAAGGCTATCCATCCACGACCCCAATACAGCGATAAGTGTATTTTCGGCCATAGGAGCAACCACTCATCACTAAGCTGTAGAGCGATGACGGATCAAAGTCGTCGCCAAAAAATAATAATGGAAGAGAATAGGTGGTGGAAGTGCTTCTCACCCAACCATAATAATTCACCCAACCATAATAGTTTCGAATGCCAGGAAGCCAATTGCACGCGACGTGGACAAAATCACCTCGTTTTGTTGTGCGTCAAAAAAGGTCACATTGTAGAGGAGCAAATCCATCCTTGGCACCCAAATCAAGACAAAAGCAGGAAGAATTTCCTTAGCCGTAACGATAATCGGAGAAGTGTTCAAAATGATCCTTTCTCTAGGTCTAACGGCAATCAACACAGGAGTCATTATCGGGCACAAACGAAATGAAGCGATTCCAAGAATTTTTCGAACGTTAACACCCATATGAGACTAGGTAACAGTGTCCTACTGGCCAGTGAGCAAAATCAGACAAGCTCTCAGCTAGTTTTGATGACTGCTGAAGGAGATCCTTGGAACCACAGGACGGAAAAGTACGAAAAAATGCTATTCCTTTTCGACTCTGAGGCCCAAAAGACCGTAATGGAACGGAGAATCGCTAAGCAATTTGGTTTGCCAAGGTCTACAACCGAGATCTGTACTATGTCGGGTATCGGTGGGCACACAGACAGTTTTGAAATTCCCGTAGTGACTGCAAAAATATGCACTGCCATTGGAGAAAAACGCGACCTAAAGATCCAAACAAAACCTGTGCATACCAGCGGATTTCCCAGCGTCAAACTGACAAATATGGACATTGATTTTTTAAAAGAGAAGAATATCTGCTTAGCAAACTTAAAGCTTCGAGGGGAGCACCAACGTCCTCACATTCTAGTAGGGTTAGACCTTTACCATGAATTCATACTGAGTCAGGACTCCATGAGAAAAACACCTTCGGCCTTCATGTTGCGAAGACTATATTTGGGGGTACCTTAGACGGTAAAGGGTTACTTGCAGAAGAAGCTATCAAACCCAAGACATTCCACGAGATGACGGCGATTGTGGACATCTATAATCCTAGCCTGTCGCCCGATAATAAGGCTGCAGCGAAAAATATGTTCACGAAGTAAAAGTAAGCTAGGAAAACCTCCGACGATTATTGCGGGATATTGTGAAAGGAAGACCAAAAATTTCTAAGGGGTCAATGCGAAATAGAGGTAGGTATCGATCT